GACAGAGAACAGAACCCTATGCTCAAAGACCGGTTTGTTCACCCCCAGCTGCGAGAAACCCCGGCTGATTCTCCACAATCTCTTAGAGAGTCATTCTGCATATTTCTGCATATCTATAGGCAGGTACAGAAGCTGATCTTCAAAGAAATGTTTCTCAGAATCAATCTCCTGGGTGAGCACATTGAAGGAACTGCCATGTCTGAGCAAGGGGTGACTATCTCCTACACCTATGGTTAAAAAAACTATACACTTCATAACCCGATTGCATACAATTTTTGATACTTTTAAAAATAACTGGAACTGGTCAATAAGATGGTGAAAGAAAATTGGTAAGAACAGTTCAAAAGTTAATATGTGAGAAAAAAAGATTGGCCAACAAATGTATGAAAAGAAACCTTCCAATCCTCTCCTTTGGAACATAGAAAATATTAACAGAATTGACTCCTGCTGTGGAAGTCACCTCAAAGATCTGTGCCTTCCAGTATTCATTTCCTTTGTTTAGTCTCCTCCCTTAGTCAAGTTAAGCCCTGGATAACCAATAGAATCCAGTGGAAGTGATCTTGTGTAGTTTCTGAGGCTACACCATTAGAGGCCTTGCAGCTTCCACTCTGGTTTTTTGGAACACTTACTCTTGGAATCTTGAGCACAATATGCAGAGTCTGGCAACCCTTAAGCCAACTTGCTGGAGAGACCACACAGAGAGGCCCTGAGCTTTCACGCAAACTGACTCCTCTCCAGCCCCCACCCCAGCCATTTGAGACATCCCAGCTAAGGCTCCAGACATACTGTAAAACAGAATTGAGTTGTTCCAGCCAAGCCTTGTCTAAAATGCAGATTTGTGAGTAAAATAAATAATTGTTGTTTTAAGGCATTAAGTTTCAAGTGGTTTGTTACGTAGCATTAGACAACTGAAACACTCCTCCCCTTCCTTCCTCCTTCAATTGATGTGAGTGCAGAGTGAGCAAGGATGTGTCAGGTCAACTCATAAGGAGTTTTCCAGCCATTGCTGGGGTAATTGATTTATTCATGTTGTAGAGACACACTGCTCCAGGACTGTTTTATGAAAAGTGATTTTATCACTTCTATTGTTAAGGCACAGGTGACCCAGAGCCATCTCTGGAGCTTGTAGCCAGGTGTAAACTCACAATCCAACATTTTAATATGCATGAATATATACATTAAACCGAACATGAAGGACAGCCTTCTACAGAAAAGAAGTCACAAGAGTATAAATAACAGGAGGAGTGCAGGCAGAAGGAGCAATCCACCTCGGCCTGGACTCTACGGAGTTAAAGCTGCTAGTATATATTCCCTTTTCAGGACTTGTTCCTCACTCACATTGGTGACATGGAACTCATCCCTGCAGCTGCAGCAATTAGACCAGGAAAGCACAGCATTCTGGAGCCAATCTATTATATCGGCCAGCAATGTACCAAATTATCACCCTTGAGAGTTGGAACTAAGATATAAAGAGGCTGTAACATGCACTCGGACAGAAAGGCCATGAGGAATCATGATGGGATAGCTGTTGTCAGCCATATTTATGTTGATTAAGTAGAGAGCTGGTTTGTGGAAAGAAGTAGTGATGAGAATTCTTGAGGGGTGGAGAAAAATAGATCAAGGGAGAAAAGAAAGAGTAACAGAGAAATAAAGGATGAAAGAGCACTAGCACTAGCTCTGTTCATTGGCCTTCTAGTCATTGGTTCTTAAAATTTAATTTAATTTTTCTTTTTTAATCTTATTTTTGGTCAGGGGCAATGATAAGGTGAGAATTAACAGAAAAGGGTCTCTATCTTCACTTTTGTTTAAGGGTCCTTGAAAAGATCGCCATTGGACCTAAGCTTTGTTGTAGGTCTGAGTTTCTCATTAAAGAATACTTCAGAATAATCAGAGCCTTAGAGATTGTTGCTCTAAAACTAGTCTGAATATATTTTTTCTTCATTAAGAAGAACGACATTACTATGGCATAGAGCTCCCATAGGCATCAGAAGGCCAATCCAGATACTTCTTTACTTTTTTATTTCAGATAAATTAAAAAGGAACAAATTTAAAGCAAGAGGAGGCACTGGGCCACACAGGCTCTGGGTTTTTCTAGTCTCAGTTCAACAACTCACATTGTGACCACAGATTAGTCCCTTCACCTCTCTGGATCTCTGCTTCCTCTGCTGCACCACATGGTAGTCACAGTTTTAACATTCTATGAATATAAAACGTCTAATGAGAGCCTGATCTAAAAACATCCTCACATAACATTTTCAAGTTACTGAAGAAGGAAAAGTGTGCACTGGGTAAAGACCTTATTGCCTAAGATCTGGAACCTAAATTTGCAGTAATTTCGGATACTTAAGTACTTTTCTTCCTGATTGTGCAATAAAGGTCAGGAAGTAAAAAAGGGAACATTCTTAATGTTCAAGTTAAGTCAGAGGCTCATTTAGTATACACATTAGATGTGAATAAATTTGAGAAAGTAAAAAGATAATCAAATTTGAACCGGAACTGATCCTTATTTGACACCCTAAGATGTTGAAATACCGTTTCTCAGAGAAATTAACCTTTTCTTTTTTTTTTTTTTTTTTGAGACAGAGCTTCAAGCTATCCCCCTGGGCAGAGTGCCGTCGCATCACAGCTCATAGCAACCTCCAACTCCTGGGCTCAAGCGAGTCTCCTGCCTCAGCCTCCCAAGTAGCTGGGACCACAGGCGCCCGCCACAACGCCCGCCTGGCTATTTTTTGGTTGCAGCCGTCATTGTTGTTTGGCGGGGCCGGGCTGGGGATTCGAACCCGCCACCTTAGGTGTACGTGGCTGGCGCCTTAGCCGGCTGAGCTATAGGCGCCGAGCCAGAAATTTACCTTTTCTATTACAAAAGCAGTGTTTATATATTGTAGTAAAATTCAAGCCAAGTATAACACATGCTAATATTTGGTGTATGTCTTTACTATCTTCAGACAAATCCTACCATTTGCTTGAAACAGATCTTATTGTTTACACTGCAATGCTTAATTCCTTAACTAGGCTCTGGACTCCATGAGAAGAACCTCTTTACCATAAATTCACACATCCCCTCCTCCACACACACACTTTAGCCATGTTCTTTGGGAAGGGATATGGTTATAAATGCTTCCTTCACTACCAATCATTTGACAAATGTTTTATTGAGCTCCTAGTATGAACTTGGTCCAGGCCTTAAGAATTCAAAGGTGCATTCCACTTCAAGACATGCCTTTTGCCTGTAATCCTGTCACTTTGGGAGGCCAAAGTGGGAGGACTGCTTGAGGCCAGGAGTTCAAGACCAGCCTGAGCAAAAGCAAGACCCCATCTCTACTAAATATAGAAAAATTAGTGGGGGTGGCGTAGGCCTGTTGTCTCAGCTACTTGAAAGTCTGAGGAAGGAGGATGTCTCAAGCACAAAGTTTGAGGTTGCAGTGAGGTCTGATGATATCACTGCGCTCCAGCCCCGGGTGACAGAGACCCTGTCTCAAAAAAAAAAAAAAAAGGAAAAAAGAAAGAAAGAAAAAGAAAAAGAAAAAGAAAAGAAGCTGGGCCTGGTAGCTCACGCCTGTAATCCTAGCACTCTGGGAGGCTGAGGCGGGTGGATTGCTTCAGCTGACAAGTTTGAGACCAGCCTGAGCAAGAGTAAGACCCCGTCTCTAAATAATAAAAAAAAAAGGTAGGCGTTGTAGCAGGTGCCTGTAGTCCCAGCTACTCCGTGGGCTGAGGCAAGAGGATCACTTAAGCTCAAGAGTTTGAGGTTGCTGTGAGCTATGACTCTAAGGCACTCTACTAAGGCTGACAAAGTGAGACTCTGTCTCAAAAAAAAAA